TGAAGTGTCAAGTTTGATGTTCTGGAGTTTTTTTCTGACAATTGTTTTCAATTTTTCAGCATTACAACTACTTGATCCAACAGAAGTTAATGCAAATTGGTTAGATTTAGAGCCGTCGTAAATTTTGATATTTAAATATCTCTTGAATGTATTATCAATCCACTCATCAATTATTGTACTAAATTTCTTTCCAATGACTTTAGACTCTTGAATTTTTAACACAAATTCATTAAAAACTTCTTCCTAGTATTTTTTAATATCTTCCCAAAATGTTGATCTTGATTAAGGCGTTTGATGACCGCGTGATGACAAATATGATTTAGTAGCATCCGAATTTATTATTTAATTAACTGAAAATTCATCTTTAGCACATTTTGATATTAACAACTCTCTAGAATCTCGAACTGTAAAACTTGTTGGACGTTAAATTTTTTTGATTACTTGATTACTTGGACCTTTTCTTGATTATGATGTGTTCTTTCTTTTTTTGATTACTTGGACCTTTTCTTGATTCTGATGTGTTCTTTCTTTTTTTGATTACTTGGACCTTTTCTTGATTCTGATGTGTTCTTTCTTTTAAGAGATATATCCATGCCATGTTTGAATTTTAAATGATTCATCAAACTCGTTGTTCCATAATTAACAATTATACAAACTTCATTACAGTTGCCAACTTGACATTTTGCCTAATTTTTACTAATTTTTACAAAATGTTTCCACACTTCACTCGTCATTTTCTAAATAAAATTTTAGTTTAGTCAACGTAACTTAAAAAAGCATGTTCTCAAACCTAATAGTAGTATTTATAGTATTTTTTTGTATAACTTCAATAGTTACTTGATTAAATTCACCATTAAACAAAGGTAAATTTTAAAAAGTTTCAGTAGTAGTGAATTTTTTTTTTTTTTTTTTTTATTTGCATTCACTCCCAACAAGGCTGCAAGCAACCACTATTAAGTTGGGAGTTACTAGGAAAAAAAAAAAGAACAGAGTTATAGAGCAAGGAAACGGTTGACAGAAGACTTAAAAAGTTGAAGGTTGTATGAGTCAGGAAAACATGAAGATGGGAGAGAGTTCCAAAGGATTGAAGTGCGGGGAAAAAAACTAGATGAATAAAAGTTTTTAGAGCATGCAGGGACAGATACAGTAAACGAATGAGACTTAGCTGAATGACGAGTAAAACGAGAATGAATTTTAGTTGATGGAACTAGAGATGATAACTCCTTTGAGCAGTGACCATGATAGTATCTATAGAAAAGAGAAAGAGATGCAACTTTACGACGATGGGAAAGAGGTTCAAGCTTAGCAGATAGTCCAGGTCCAACAACATTTACAATGCGTTTTTGGACCTTGTCAAGAAGAGAAAGTGAATCGTTAGAAGAACCAGCCCAAATATGACAATAGTATTCCATACAGGGACGAATAAGAGATTTGTAGAGGTAGAGAATGGAATCAGAAGTAAAGAAATGGCGAGCACGATAAAGAGAAGCAACCTTAGCAGAAGCTAATTTAGCAATCGATTGTATATATGGTTTCCATGAAAGGTCAGTAGTAAGCGATAATCCAAGAAGACGTAAAGAGGAGGACTCAGTAAGAGGATTGCCATTCATTAATATAGGAATGTTGACCATATTACGGTAGTTGTTTGCAGTAAGCAATTGGGTTTTTTTAGAGTTGAAATTCACAAGCCACTGTGAACCCCAATCTATTACTGAAGCGAGATCAGATTCAAGATCAGCTGCTTGTTCTAGGCGATCGAAAAGAGAAGACTTTTTGTCAAGACAGGAGTATAAAGTTGAGTCATCAGCAAAAAGAGCTACTTTAGATGAAAGGTTGTCAGGAAGATCGTTTATGTAGATAAGAAACAAAACAGGGCCCAGGATGGAACCTTGGGGAACCCCAGAAGTTACTGGAAATAAAGAAGAGTGTTGGCCTTCAAGGATGACTTTAATAAATCGGTTAGAAAGAAATGATTTGATAATCTCAAAAACTGTCCCAGAAACACCATATGAAGCAAGCTTATGGAGAAGACCAGCATGCCAAACTTTGTCGAAAGCTTTAGATATGTCGAGAGCAATAGCTCTAGCCTCACCGCCTCCATCTAATGCACGATAAAATCTTTCAGTTACAGCAGTTAGCAAGTCGGCCGTAGAGCGAGAGGATTGAAAACCGTATTGATTGTCTGACAGTAGTTTATTTGACTCAAGATGAGATGTGAGGAATTTGTTGATCAAAGACTCAAAGACCTTGCTAATAACAGAAAGAAGACTGATCGGACGATAATTGGAGGGGTCAGAATTTTCTCCAGAGTTTTTGAATATTGGAACCACAGATGCCATTTTCCAACAAGCAGGAAAACAAGACTCAGTCAAACACTTGTTAAATAGTTTAGAGAGAATTGAAGAAAGTTCTGGAGAACAATTCTGCAAGACTGTGATAGGAATGTTGTCTGGACCACAAGCTGTAGACGAGTTTAATTGAGATATGACTTTAGCAACAGAAGCCGGAGTGATTTGAATGTCTAACAATGGGTCAACCTGTTTGACTGGAATGGAAGGAAGAGAATGTCCATAAGATTCAATAGTGGAATTAGAAGAAAAGTTCTTTGCAAACAGTTCTGCCTTATCCCTGGGAGAGGTAACAAGATCAGTCCCATAAATGAGAGATGGAATGTTAGATCTACCCTTGTTAACAATGAATTAATTTTATATTAGTGATATAAAATTCACGGAAATTGCGTAACATGGAAATTGAAATAAAGGGTTCGTAACAAATTGGATTTTTAAAAATGTGACGGTTATTTATTATAAAAATTCTGAAAAATAATTTCAAAATTTTTTAACTATTTGTGTACAAATATTTGGGTAAAAATACAAATATTTGGGGCACCCCAAATAGTGCTAAAAACCCCAAATACCTAAATAACAAATAATTAGGTTCGACTTCGCTAACATTTACTCTTTATTATAAGATTTTGCTTCATACTTTTAAACTCAGTCGTGATTTCTCCCTACGGGCATTTATTTTTCAAAGTTCTTAATGTCTTTTAAACGTAAGAATGTTTAGAAGGCATTTAAAAGGCATTTAAAACACATTTAGAACGTAATTTAAAAAAAAAAAAATGCCCGCTGGGTTCCATCAAAGCGTCAGGTATACAGTGAAAGACTGTCACGCTTGTAAAAAGTTAAAGTTGGTTGAAATTATATACTAGTGATTTATTGACACTACGCAAAACGGTATCCTATTTCAACATAATTATGTGAACTTAAGATTTATTTGATTTTCTCTTGACTATACTAATTTTCCTCCAACTTGCTCACTGAGCACTTGTGTTTCATAAAAACTAGTTTTTTGCCGTCTTTACTTCTTAAACCATAATTAAATGCTTTCTAAATGTCATTGATAAATGTTTACGTTTTTTTCCTCACCTTGTCATCTTGTCCAACAATGGCGTTCCCTACCAATTTCTTATCATTGGTGCCACATAAAGTTTAAAATAAAGCCGCGTCAGACAGTACCGGTGCTTCTTTCAGCTAGCTATATGCTTTGCTTAGGTTGAAAACTTTAGATTTGTCACTCACTTATCTCCATTTTCTCAATTTCTCCGTCTAAATCTCGTGGAAATGTATTGATGACTTGTTAGTGTCCCTTCAGTTTAGCACTGGCCGAACTTTGCTATTATTTCGTTCATCACTGCCATCAGTAGAAAGCTCACCTTTAGGAGGTCTCATTTTCTTCATCATATTTCAATAACTATCTTGGCTTTATCTACAATTGCAATTTTCTCTCTTACTCTTTCTTAACGTTTTCTAGAACCGAATTCTGAGTCAACGTATTTGTGTTAACATGTTCTCCACTCCTCAATATCCATTTTACTTTCAACTCCGTTTCCTCATATACGTTCCCTCATATCCATTCCTCATATCCGTTCCCTCCATCTTTATTTTACCTTCTACTTCTACTCCGTTCCCTAAAACACTGTTCTATGATTTCGCTTCTTAATTTCAAGTAATATTCTACTTTTTTTTTTTTAATTTCAAGTAGTGTTCTACTTTGTTTTGTAAATAACTTATATGCTGCATAGGCCAGAGAAAAAGCCTGAAACAACACATTATTGATTTTCTATGCATTCCATTTTCTCTTTTTTTTTTTTCAAACAGTCATAAACTGCATAGGCAGCACTTCGCAGCAGCACAAGATAAAATACCTTCTACTCGACGCATTGTATATCTGCAACCACCTTGGTTTGTTGTAACCATTTTGAGCATCTGATGTTTCATCGTATTTTTCAACTTCATGATGATTCCATTCAGAGCCCGGTTATTTTGCAACTTTTTCACGCAACAAAATTATAATAATGAAGAGGATATAACAAAAAACTCTTCAATAAAGATGAATATTTTAATAAAAATTGTGAATGAATGGAAAGTAATTGAAGAAAGGCTCTTAATAGGTTTACTTTATATATATGTATATATATATATATATATATATATATATATATATATATATATATATATATATATATATATATATATATATATATATATATATATATACACTCTAAGAAAAAATCCGTTATATACAACGAATTGTATCTGTCGCTATTGCACTAACGGGAAATCCGTTAAGTTGAAGAATTAAAATTTTAACGAATTGAAGTCCGTTAGGAATAGTACGTTGAATTTACGGATTTATTTCGTTAGAGCAACGAATAATCCGTTAAAATTAAGGAGTTATTACACTAGGCAGCAAATTTTCCGCGGTTATTATTCCTATGAAATAAATGTGTTAATAAGTTATTTTAGTGATTATTTCGTTAAAATCACTAAAATCTAAAATTAGAGAGGCCAGAATTGTGACTTCATAACCAAATAATCCTTATATTTGTTAATGTTTGCATTTTTATTTAATTGCATTATTTTATTTCGATATTCTACATTAAAACGTTTTAACCGAAAATTGAAAACTAATCAAATATTTATAATATATAATCCAATACTTTAAATTACAATGAAAATACTTGAAACATTTTTTTAATACACTATACTCAAGCTAGTACATTTATATAAAAAAAACACACATATATATATATATTAGATGTTTAAAATAAACCAATGCCAAGATAGTTTTTGGTTACTAGTTTTGGTTTGGTTGGTTTAAATAGGTTTTGGTTTTGAATACTGTTGTTACTCGTACACAGGTTCGCACTTTAATTGGACACCATGCTGTCAACTCCTTAAAGATTAATATAAAATAAAATAAAGAAAATATGGAAACTTAATAACATACCTAGTATAAAACCAAAATAAAATGTTACTGATAGCACTATAGAAAATGTTTTTGATAATTCATTATATATAAATTTCTATTCTAAATTTTGTTATTTTAATTATCTCTGATATCGTTTTTTAAAGATAAAGTTAAATGGAACAAGTAAATTATATCTTTATTAAAATGTAAATTGAAAAAAAAGTATATGATTACCTTGACATTATCTGATAACTGAAAGACTCGATAAATTTCACATACATCAATACCTATAAGGTGCAAAAAATAGTCTCTAACCTTTTAAAACTATGATAAATCAAAACAAGATTAAATATGCAGACCAAAATAAACGCAAGTAACTATATAAAAAAAATTAATTTTACAACTTATTTAAACTTACAGTGTCATACCACTTGTCACATGTTTAAAATAGCTAATTCTAAAATAATAGTAAATATAAAATATAGTAGAATAATAGTTAAAAAAGTGTGATATAAAGTTAGTCTTAACCAAACTAAAAAAATATGCGTGCCAAAAGAAATGCAAGTTAAAATACAATTTTTTTAAATTTACTATTTCAAACTTACAGTGGGATATCACATGCCACATGTCTAAAACAGTAAATTTTAAAATAATATAAACACGCCAGATATAAACTTATTATTATTATTATTATTGCTATTATTATTATTATTATTATTATTATTATTATTATTAACAGTTGAAACTCAACTAAATAAATATGCACGCCAATAAAAATGCAAGTTACAATATAAATTTTACAACCAATTTAAACTTACAGTATGACAGCTTATACCAAGTGTCTAAAATAGCAAATTCTGAAATAATACAAACAAGCCATACACAAACTTAGTTGTTATCTAATTACATAAACATGAACGTCAAAAGAAATGCAAGTTAAAATATAATTTTTTTTTAAATATACTAATTCAAACTTACAGTGGGATACCACATGCCACGTGTCTAAAACAGTAAATTCTAAAATAATACAAACACATCAGATATAAACTTAGATTAAACTTAACTAAATAAATATGCAAGTTACAATATAAATTCTACAACCAATTTAAACCTAAAATGTGACACTAAATGCCGTGCCTCTAAAGCAGCAAATTCTAAGATAGTATAAATAAATAAACATGAATGTTAAAAGAAAAAGAAGTTCCAATATAAGTTTTTTAATTTTCCAACTAGTTTTAACTTACAGCGGGATAACAAATGCCATGTGTCTAAAACAAAAAATTCTAAAATAACATAAACACACCAGTATAAACCAGTTTATGATATTAGATGCCACATGTTTAATTTGGAAATTAATAAAAATTGCAATTTATAAAAGCATATTAACTAGCCATGTAAACTTAGCAGTAACTAACCTAAATAAATATACCTATCAAAGATGTTAACATTTTTAATTTTACAACTGATTTAAACTAATATGGTATGTTACTACATGTCATATGTCTAAAATATAAAATTAAACAAGACTATAAATAATCCATTTAGTCTATATTATAGAAATAATTGTTCAACTAACCCTTTACTACTAGTAAAGCATTAGTTGAACTTTTATTTCTATAATATAGACTATATGGATTGCATATATAATATATGCAATCCATATAGTCTATATTATAGAAATAAAAGTATATATATTATATTCTTGCATAATTTATTATATTATATTCTTGCATAATTTTCTAGATTTAGACATGTAGTAACTTACCATAATTATATGTATTAACTTACCATATATGTTATTATATATTATTTAGTAATACTTATGGCTTTTAATTTAAAATAAAATAAACCTTGTTAAATTTTCTGTATAAAGCTTTATATAGAAAATTTAAAATAAGTTAAATAACCTTCGAAATAACATAGCGTAATTTAAATTATATTTATCCATTTGCTTTGTCAACAAATTTTGTTGCCATTTTTTAAAAAGCTTTACATTTAGTTACTAAATGTAAAGCTTTTTAAAAAATGGCATATTACCATTACTGCAACCAACTTTTATCTACGATGTAAACAAGGCCGGCGCGATAGGGGTGTGTGGGGAGGGGGTGTCACACACCCCATCCCCATCAATGATTTTTAGTCGGCAAACTGGACCCTTAGTCGGGAAATTGGACCCTTAGTCGGCAAATTGGACCGGTTTAGACTAGTCAGTCGGCAAATGTCGACCCTTTCGATATAGGTTAGACAGTAAATGTCGTCTGACAGTCGGCAAATTTTGGAAAACAAGGACCTTTTTTTTTTTTTTTTGGTAGGCAAAAGTTGTAATGGCACCCCCCCCCCCCACGTGACACCTACTCGCGCCGGCCCTGGATGTAAATGTAAATGTGAGAAAAACCCATTCAAAACTTTATCATTTTCAAAATAAAATTTTTTTATACTGAAAATTTTTTTTTGACCGATTAGAATATTTAATCCGTTGAATTAACGAAATTACAAAGAATCCGTAAATAGTCCGTTAATTTTCTGGTTTTTGGTAACGCATTAATCCGTTAATTTGACAAAAAAGCGTAATCCGTTACTTTTTTTAACGGACTGTTTTTAGAGTGTATATATATATATATATATATATATATATATATATATATATATATATATATATATATATATATATATATATATATATATATATTAACGTAGGCTATTTGGTCTATTTTTGCAAGCACAACAATTAATGACTTTCCTTGACTATTGTTTATTATTCTTTTTTATTTTTTTGCTACATTTTACTTATATCAGTTTTTAGTATTTTTCTACTTTAAGACTCTTTGTGTTCCACTGGACATTTGTCCTTTTGTACTTTTATCTCACTCTGCTGAATTCATTTTAACTTATTATTCATCCCTAAGGCGTTCACTGGTCGGTGCAGCTTCACTAAAATGCAGTGCATTTACAAAAAGTATTTATTTCTGCGTGGACTGCGGAGCAAGACTATCTTCCTGACAACCACATATACCAAAGGTAAATTTATTTACCTAACAAAACCTAAAAAGAAGAGCAGGGGCGGTCCAGAGGAGTTCAAAGGGTGCTCCAGCACCCGTCAACTTTTAACAAGTAAAGTTTCCTATTTCGTTGCATTTTTTTATAAATAAAAATTGAATTATTAAAACAGTTTATTCAACTCAAAATTTGCGGTTTCATTTTTTGTGAAGGAAGTCGAAAATAAATAAATAATTATCTTTGTTGTTATGTAGAACTTTGCGTTTAGCGCTAGCGTATTTTATATATATTAATGCTTCGACTAGGAAACTCTCGTATAGTCGCTTTCTGATTCGCCTGCTCTTCTCAGAATTATTTTTGATTGGCCTGCACCCCTCAGAAGCTATTTTTGATTGGCTTGGTTTCTTAAGCTAATCAAAACAGGTTTTGAGGGGTGCTGACCCAATCAGAAAGATCTCTGAAGGGTGCAAGCCAATCACGAAAAAATCAGAAAAAAGGTTTTTCACTAATTGGCAACGAATCTTTGTCAGTATACCTTAGATCCCTGACCAGTATCAAATTATATACAATTGTAGATTTTTGTTCAAACCATCCAATTATTTTTTCTCAAACTGATGTTACCAAATCTCAAAGAATTGATGAAAACACAGCTTTTTCTATTATTATTTCCCAAAAAGTGTATAATTCTTTTTGTAAAAATAATAGAACACTAAGTGTCATATCAGAATCTATCAATATTGCAACAAATTATTCTTATTCCTTGTTTCTTACTTTGTGTGCTCTCTCGAGTTTTGTTGGAATACCAATTGAATCATATTATCCTATAGAAAAGGATAGAAAAGAAATAAATATTTTTCAATTGCACTATTAGACCACGTGTTGAACATTCTTTAAGCACATCTGTAAAAAAAATACACATTCTTAGTTGCTCTTCAGTTATTGCAGGTTTTAAACAGACCTCTAATATATTTGTAAACAAAGATTCTTTTGTTCCTTTAATATCTTTAAAATGTATTCCTAAAAAATACCAAGTTCCTAATGTTTTTGCACCTAAAGTAGTAAAATTACCTGAAATTAATCAGCTTCTTTAAAATCTTGTATCCTGTTTCCTGATTCTACTCAGGAAATAGATGTTTTAGATCCAGTTAAAATTCTTTCCACTTTTAAAATAAGAAAAAAACTCACAATTGATCAATTTACTATTAAGTCACCTTTTCTTACAGACAAAAAAATTTGTGTTGTATCTTTGCCAATCAAATTAAAAAGTTCTTCCCCACTATTGATTGCAGAATGTTCTTCAAAATATATCCATTCACCAAATAAGGCAAATTTTAACTCTAAAAGTAGTTCTTCTGCTTTTGGAAATAAATGTGAACTATCTTTTGTAAAAAAATACGATATCAGGCTCTATGAAATTTATGGAATTAATAAACTAGGCAATGAAGATAAGTATGATTTACTAAAAAATGTTTATAAACCAAGTTTTCATTTTGAATCCAATAAGTCAGGTTGTTCCTTTAAATTCTCTTGGCTCTCATTATACTCTTGGCTTGCATATTCAGAAATTAAAAAAGGTGTTAATTGTGTTATTTTTGGATCTTAAGAATCAAGTCATAATGCAAGTAAACTTGTTCAGCTTTATAAATCTTCATTTGCGGCATATTCAAAGACCATTAATAAGTTTAATAAACATGCTGAAAGTTCACCAATTTACCAAACTGCAACTCTAAAGGCAACTCATTTTCGCCAATGTATGGAGCAAAAGATAAATTTTGTTGAATTAAATCTCAACAAAGTAGTTGATGAACTAGTCAAGAAAAATAGAGAAATATTAAAACCAATAGTTCTGGCAATTATTATGTGTGGAAAACAAAACATACCTCCCCGAGGTCACAGAGATTATTCATTTTACTATGAAAATGAAAATAGTAACTCTGGCAATCTTCAATCAATTTTGAAATTAATATCTGATTGTGCAGTTTGGTGAATGGGCAAATTGATACTCCAAAAAATGCTACATATCGCTCTAAAACTACTCAAAATGAGTTGAATAATATTTGTAATGACATTATAGTTTCTAAATTGAAATGTGAAGTTAAAAAAGCTAAATTTTTTTTAAATATTAGCAGATGAAGCATCTGATGTAAGCAATATGGAACAAATGTCACTTGTATTATGCTATGTAAATTATAATTGTAAAATGTGTGAACTATTTTTTGGCTTTATTCTATGGGACTCAGGCTTGTCTGGAGAAGCTATAGCCAGCCATATTTTGAATAGTATTAAGGATTTGGGACTAGAAATGAAATTTTGTGTTGTTTAAGGTTATGACAGTGCTGGTAACATGACTGGGAACTGTTCTGGTGCTGCAGTAAGAATAAAAACTATTTATCCTAAAGCATTGTTTGTTCATTGTGGATCTCATGTCCTCAATCTTTTGTGTTGCAAATGCCTGTAACATACAAACCTCTGTCACATCGTCGTAATGTTGCTTCTCTTTCTCTTTTCTACAAATACTATAATGAGGACTGTTCTAAAGAGCTAGCGTCTCTTGTGCCATCTACTAAAACTCATTCTCGTGTTACTCGTCATTCAATTAAGTCTCATCCTTTTTCTGTTACTGTTCGTAAGTGCTCCAAAAACTCTTATTCGTCTAGTTTTTTTCCTCGAACATCAGTTCTTTGGTATTCGCTTCCTTCATCTTGCTTTCCTGATTCATATAATTTGCAATCTTTTAAGTCATCTGTCAATCGTTATATTGCTCTACAACCTTCATCTTTTCTCTTCCAGTAACCTCCAACACTAATTAGTGGTTGCTTGCAGCCTTGTTGGAAGCGAAGATGTTAAAATATAAAAAAAAATAAAAAAAAAATAAATAGTTAGCAATATGATGTCAAATGTTCGTGTTATATCTCAGTTCTTTAATTTTAGTCCAAAGCGTTTTGATGTTCTGAAAAAAAAAATTGAAGAAATGTTTCCAAAAGCTCATCACTCTCGTCTAATAGATGTATGTTGTACAAGATGGATTGCCAGAATTGATGGTTTAGATGTATTTATAGAGGTACTTCCTGCTATAATTAAATGCTTTGAGCTAATGATTAATAACGATGAAAAGTCTTGGAATCATGACTCAGTGCGTGATGCAAATAGTTATTTTTTTGCTACTAGATCTTTCCAGTTTCTTGTTACTTTAGTAGTGGTGTCTCGCTGTTTGGAAGTAACAAGACCAATTACAAAACAATTTCTTTCAATTTTCAAAACAATCTCCAAACTTTGATGTTTTTGCATCGCATGAAAAAATTAATTTGTTACATCTTGCTTTACAGCGAGTAAGATTAGACATTGAACACAATCATGGTGCTTGGTATAGTGAGGCAGTTGTATTGATAGCTCGTGTTGGTGTTTATGAGCACAAGCCTCGTACAATAGGAAAAGAGCTAAATCGAAATAATTGTCCTAGTGAATCTATTAATGAGTATTACAAGAAAGTTATTACAATTCCTTTTCTTGACCATTTATCATCCCATATTATATTTACCTTAATTCAAATTCTTGCAACTATTCCAGTAACAACATGCACTTGCGAAAGATCAATCTCTGCTATCCTTCGTTTAAA